TTCTATTCGGATACGTCTTCTTCTTCTTCAAGTGCCGTCTCCATCAATGGAGGTTAGCGGTTATGGTGGCAAACGTTTGTCTATCTTCAGCTGCTCTTAAGAGTTCCTCAAATCCAAGTCCTGTCCAATTTCTGATATTGCGTAACCAGGACAATTTTTTTCTTCCAATTCCTCGCTTTCCTTCTATTTTGCCTTTTATTATCAACTGAGGGATGTAGTATTTCTCGTTGCGCAACAAATGCACTAAATAACTGGTTTTTCTTCTTTTGACTGTTCTCAATAGTTCTTTTTCTAAATTGAGTCTAGCTAGTACTTCTTCATTTGTTTTTCGTGCTGTCCAAGGAATTTTTAAAATTCTACGGTACACCCACATTTCAAATGCCTCGATTCTATTCAGGCTCTTTATTTTTAAAGTCCACGTTTCGACTCCGTAGAGAAGAACAGACCAGATAAAACATTTTACAAGTTTTAATCTCAATTTAATATTTATATGTGTATCGCAGAATAGAACGCGCATCTTAAAGAAACTATCCCTAGCTTGAGCAATTCTCGCTTTAATTTCTTGTTCTGGGTCCAGCTTGCAATTAATCCAACAGCCAAGGTATTTGTATTGGTTTACCTGTTCTAAAATATTCCCATTTATTTTTATAGGTAAGGGGATATTCTGTTTTCTTTGGATCACCATTACTTTTGTTTTTTTTTTTCGTTGATCTTCATTCCAAACTCTCGACAAGCATCCTTAAGGTGGTCTATAACCCTCTGTAAGTTTGTGTCTGTATCAGCCAGTAGGACAGTGTCATCTGCATATCTTATGCTAGATATTGGTTCTCCATTAATTTTTATTCCTGTGGAAAGGTTTTCCAAGGCTTGCTTGAATAGTAGTTCCGAGTAAAGATTGAACAGCATAGGGGATAGTATGCATCCTTGCCTTACTCCTTTATTTATACTAATATTTCTAGATGTATGATCGTCGATCCTAATCTTGGCACTCTGCCTCCAATATAAGTTCTTAATTAATCGGAGATCTTTACTATCCAAGTTGATGCTCTGCAAGGAATTTAACATTTTATTATGGTTTACGCGATCAAATGCCTTTTCAAAGTCTACAAAACATAGAAAGACATCCTTTTGTTGGTCGTAACACTTCTGCAGCAGTACTTGTAATGAAAACAAGGCCTCTCTGGTCCCCATTCCGGCTCTGAATCCAAATTGATCGTATCCAACTTCTTTTTCACACCTTTTGTATACCCTATTGTGAAGTATTTTTAATAGAATTTTAAGCACTTGGCTCATAAGACTTATTAATCTAAAATCTGCGCATCGCCTGGAGTTAGCTTGTTTTGGAATGGGAATAAAAATAGATTCTAACCATTCCTCTGGTATTTCCCCAGTATCGTAGATTGTATTAAACAAAATTACTAACAAATCAATGTTATTACTTTCGATCAATTTAAGTATTTCAGGATAAACTTCATCAGGTCCAGGGCTTTTGTTGGTCTTTAATTGTTTAATCGCATATTCCACTTCGACTTTTAGAATTGGTGGGCTTTCAGTAACATTATTTATTGTAATGTCTATTCTTTCATCTCGGAACAGCTGTTGTATAAATTTTTCCCATTCTTCTATTTTATCTTTGGTGTTATGAATTAACTCTCCGTTGTTATTTACCAGTGGGCAATGTTGTTTTTTGCGGATGAATGAAAATTCTTTCACCTTCTTGTACATATTAAAGTAATCATGTCTATGTTCTAATTCTTCTATTTCTTTACATTTTTCTTCGAGCCATTTCTCTTTTGATTCTTTTATTTTCCTTCGTATTTCTGTATTTAATCGTTTGTAATCGCTTGTGTTCTTATTTTTGTATTTCCTCCTTTCGTCTATCATCTTTAGAATAGCTGGTGTCATCCAGTCTTTTTTTGCCATTAATCGTGTATTTGGAATTTCTTCCCTTGCAGAATTGACGAGGATGGATTTTATTTGTTGCCAAGTTGTATTTATATTTTGGATATTTATTTGGGTTCGGTCTATTTCTGAGAGTTTTTCATTTATTTTTACAGTGGTTTTATCTTTAATCTGTACATCTTTTAGTAGTTCCATATTAGGTTTGTTCTTCGGCTTTGCATTTTTTATTACTTTAATTCTTGTGCGAATATTTGCTACTACAGGGTTGTGGTCGGAATTTGCATCAGCACTAGGATATGTTTTTGTACTTGTAATGGAGTTACGAAATCGTTGGTTGATTAAAACATAATCTATTTGATTTCTTATTATTCTTTCTTTTGTGTGTAGCGGGGAAGTCCAGGTGTATAACCTACGTTGAGGTAACTTAAACCAAGTGTTTGTTGCTATCATATTGTGTTGCTGGCAAAACTCTAATAGTCTGTCTCCTCTTTCATTTCGTTCTCCTAGTCCGTATTCTCCTACGATATTTTGGAATTTCCCTCTTCCTATTTTAGCATTAAAATCTCCTAGGACGATGTTAATATCTTCTTTCTTTGTCAATTTCATGAGCTTTTGTAGATCTTCATACCATTCTTCTAGTATGTCATCTGGCTTATCTGCGGTTGGTGCATAGACCTGAATAATATTCACATTAAAAGGAGAACTCCTTATTTGCAACAGCATTGCTCTGTCAGAGAGTGGTATAAAGTTTGAAACTGCGTTACTCAATTCATCGTTTATTATTACACCTACTCCATTGAAATGTTTTGGATCATTGTTGCCTGAATAATAGAGTGTTTTGTTCATAATTTTTGTTGTTCCTGAGTTAGGCCATCTAACTTCACTCAGACCTAAAATATCTATATTCAATCTGTTCATTTCTTGGCACACGTTTGCTAGCTTTCCAGCCTCATAAGGCTTCTGACGTTCCAGGTCGCTACTTTGATGTCATTGTTTGTTTTAGTTTTGTATTTGTTTTTGTTCGTCTAAATACCCGGATACGTCTAATCTGATTAAAATATTTCGCTTTATTTGCTTTTTGTTTGTTTTATTTTGTATACACGTTTTGTAACCCTGATATCAGCTGCAGTTTTTCCTTTTTCCTACTACTACTTTCCATTCTTGTGAAAAAGTATCAGTTTTTTGAAAGTGTTAAACCTCTTAAACAGTAAACGCAACACTATGTTTTGCTTGTATCAATTTCTGATCATGTTAAAAGTAACATTAAAATTAAATTCACAACATTAATAGGAAACTTTAGAACAGGTAACGTAAATAAAATGAACTAAATTTTAAATTAATACATTCATAATTCTAAACAGTTTCCTCATCAGCTATAACTATTTGATTAAATGTTTAAAATGATATCCACCAACAATGAACACTAATCTTAGTTCTTCCAATGAAGCTGGAGGTGTTTTTTCGTTGCTTTTTAAATAAGTCCGTATGAAGAAGTCCCGAAGAGTTCAATCGGTGACTTATTGAATGGAGATCCGCTTCGTTGCAAGAAATAATATAAATAGTGCATAAATGTAGTATAGTAATTCCTAAAATGCTCTAAAAACTCGTTATAATATTATGGTCGTTGGTGGATATCATTTTGAACATTTACTTGATAACTTATAGTATAGTATATAGTTACAACAGTTGGTGAGTAATTTGTTTGGAATTATGAATTTAATAATGTAAAAGTTAGTTCATTTTATTTACGTTACATAATATTACCTTTATACCCCCTCTGTGGCTCAGTGGTAAGAGCGCCTGCCTTTAAACCTAAAGGTCGTGAGTTCGAATCCCACCTGGGTGGAAATTTTCGTTTATTAAAAAAATTAATAAATGAAAATAAATAATTTCTATCCTTGTGTGATCGGTACACACCGGAGGGACCGCAGACGTTCGGGTACAATTAGCGTCTCTTAGCAAAGACAATGACGTCGACTTTGCTAAGTAACAAGACAATTACTCTACACACACACACACACACACACACACACACACACACACACACACACACACACACACACACACACACACACTACACCTCAAATTGTAAGATTGGCAAATGGATTTAGTGTCCGCAGTCATTTAAACACAAACAAACAACAACATAATATTACCTTTGTTAGAAAATGTTACAAATTTCGTTTTATTGTAGTGTTTGGCATTACCGAAAATTAACACTAGCAAAACATAGACGTTACGTTTAGATTTTAAGAGGTGTAACACTTTTAATAAACTTATTCTTTTGTCACAAGAATAGAGTTAATATCGAAAAAAATATGGATGTCTAAATTCTCCAGCGAAATACCTGTCTAACAATGTGCCACACATGGTATATTCCCTATTTAAAATTTAAGGGTTGCGGTACTGGAAGGTAGGGAGTTCACAATTGACAGATATATCTGTATGTTTAAAAGATGACACCTTTATAATAAAAATCGACCAGTTTTAGCATTTTCACAAAATCCAATGAATATTACCATATATCAAGGTGGACTCTTTTGAGTGGTCAACCCTGTATAGTTTTCTGTTTTTCTTTATTTTTTCTTGAGCTTGACAACACTAGGTCTCATGATTCCCAAATGATTTTCCTGACGATTATGCAAGAATTTTTAATAGAGTAACATTAATGGAATCTAAGCTGCCAGATTTTGTAGTAAAGTATAAACGTTCTCCCAAAATTTTTCCTCCTTTAATTTTTAATGTATAGACTTATATCAACTTTAAAATTAAATGAGCCATGATTCGTTATATTATAAATAATACTTTCCAAAAGAATATTAAAATGCTCAGGTTGTTAACATGTAGTTGTATAGGTTGTATAGTAGGCGTATTAAAAAAGGTATGAAAAAGAATAGATGATATTAGATACACAGTTGTTAACGTAATAAAATTGGATAGTTGTTTTCATATGTTTATTTTGTTTTTGTACTCTGTCAGTTATTTTAATGGAATATCCAAATAATTATGTAAACATTTATGTTAAAATTCAAAATCTGGATGTCAAATTAAAAATACCTTTTACATTTTTTAATCAATTGTTTGTTCTTAATTTTTAGGTGCATATCCAGGGGATCAGATGCGACCATTTGACGATATATCTCCAGGATATGGAGACACTTTTCCGACAGAGGCATTTAGAAAGGGCAGCACTCCAGCAGCAATTACAGCAGAACAGAGAAATACTCAATTCCAGCAACCTGGTGCTGTGTTAATGGTGTACGGCCTGGATCCGCTACGCACGAACGCAGATAAATTATTTAATTTGATGTGCTTGTATGGAAATGTTGTTCGGGTAAGGATATTTCAGTAACGTATTTGCAAATCGTTTTTTTTATTGTTACGATTATACATTTTGTTTGTAAAAATTATTTCTATACTCTTCAAAAAGTATCTTTTCGTATTTTTTAGAAGAATAATAACAAAGAACAGTGGACGCCGACTTCTTTTAAACTAAATTCATATAAATTTTATACAATCCATTGAAATACACGTTTCACTATTTTGAATTCAATCCATGAACTAATTAAATTAAAAAAAATATTATAATAGATAACAGATAAGCTGAAAATAAACCGATCAACAATGATCCATGAAGAAAAAACTGTGGAGGAAATATCGAAAAACGTTAAGGATGTAATGACGAAAACTTCAAACGAAATGATTGTAATAAAAAAAAAACAAAATAGATAGCTCTTGATTCACCACATATAGGTGGTAAAAGAAAGGAAAAAACAAATAACAACTATTAAGAAGGGATCATCTAAAGAGAGAAACAAGTATCAAAAAAAATTAAAAAGAAAAAATTTAGCAATAAGAAATCAAACCAAAAATGTTAAATGGACAGAAATGCTAAAAATTCCACTAAAAGCTGCTCAGGAAAATGACCCAAAAACACAACACTTCATCATGCGGAACTTGTGAGGGAAAGTATCAAAAAATACTAAAAAAAACTAAAAAAGGGGGACATAATTGAATCAGAACAAGGAAATTTTAATGTAATGATATAAAAAATGATATGTATTGTCTAAGAAACGTAAAGGGCGCTAAATCCTCCATTGGTAGGGACGGCATCAGTGATAAAGAGAGAGAGAGAGAAAGAGCGGGAGAGAGAGAGTGAGAGAGAGGTTATAAAAATGTTAATATAAAAATATACAGGGTTTTCCAAGATGTTTTTAAAAGCCTAGTAAGTAATGAATATTTTTATTTGAAAATTGGCAAATATCAGTTGGACTTACAATGTTATCAATCGATGTTAGGCTAGTAAATTCACTAAGTACGCTAAATTTTAAAGTTAATGTTTATTTTCAATAATAATCAACAACATTCAAAATGTGAAATAATGTTATAGTAGGTGTTCAAAATAAAATCATTCTGCTCCAACATAAGCTTCAATGGTCTAAGCAGTTCACGTGCATGTACATGTGCCGCATGTATCATCTCTGGCGCAATCTCATACAAAAAATTTGAGTGTGGTAGCACAGGCAATCTTGTAGGCCATCGGACGGCTCCGTTAGTGCTAATCTATCTGTTTGGAAATGTGACATTAATGTAATTAATCTTCGATCGAGTTAGTCTTCGATCCAAATCGGTGGGTCACAATTCATGAACCAAACTTAGTTTAAATGGATGGTAATGGTGGGTTTTTAAAATCCTCTGAACTCTAATTGAAGACAATCCAGTTTCTGCAGCAATGGACCTTATGGACACGTGTGGATTAATCGTTACATATGCTAATATATTCACCAAGTTTTATTCGGTCTATGTTGGTTTGAATAAACCAACACAGACCGAATAAAAAAGATGACAGGAGAAATTGTAAAAACTATAGAGGAATATCGGTCACAAGTTCAATGAGTCGACTATACGGTCGAATACTACGGGACCTGATAGAGGAAGATTATCAATCGTCTGAAGACGAAGAACAAGGAATATTTAGAGCAGGTCGTTCATGTACAGATAACATCTTCTGTGTTAAACAAATTATAGAAAAGAAAATTGTGACAAATAGAGAGTTACATATGACTTTTGTAGATCTTGAGAAGGCATATGACACAGTCCTGCTAAATAAACTATGGGAAGTCCTGGGCACATCAAACATAATCAAACATTGGTTAGTGCTCTCAAAGGTCTATATTATGGTTCAAATTCCCAAATGAAATTCGGAAACCTCTTAGCTGAAAAAGTTGCAATTACTAAAGGTCTCAGACAAGGATGTTGTATCTCTCTGACTCTGTTTAAGATTTACATCACTGCGGCTCTGAAACAATGAAAAGAAAAATCAAAGGAATGGGTATACAATTGAACGATCAGGATTACATATATACTCTACAGTTTGCAGATGATCAGGTGGTGATCTCAAATGACAAAGACGACATGGAATACATGCTTAGAAAACTAATTGAAGAATACCACAAATGAGGATTAAATATCAATTTAGAGAAGACAAAATACTTCTCAATTGGAGCTGATGCAGAGCAACTCGATATCGATGACATTAAAAAAATAAATCCATGTGACGAATATAAATACCTTGGCGTCATCTTCGACCGTAGTAGAAAAGACGAACGAGAAATAGAACATCGAATTGTACAAGCACGAAGATCTATAGCATATTTGAACGGAGTTCTATGGAGTAAAGAAATATCAAAGAAAAGAAAATGGAACATCTATGAGACAATGGTTAAAACTAGCCTACTTTATGGAGCTGAGACATGGAGAATAACCGAGAAATATAAGAAAAAGGTCGAAGCCACGGAAATGGATGCCATCAGAAGATAAATGAGAATATCAAGATCCGACAGAATACAGAATGAAGTGATAAAACAACAAATGGATATAGAGGGCACTATAGTTGAGGATATTGAGAGAAAACAGCTCATATGATATGGGCATGTGAGCCGAATGGGGGACAAAAGATTGCCTAAAAAAACTATGATGTTGCAACCCCCAGAGAAGAAGAAACGAGGAAGACCACCACAGAGCTGGAACCTGGGAGTTAGGAAAGCGATTAGCGCTCGAAATCTGGACGATGACCTAACTCAAGACAGAATACAGTGGCGTTTGGGAGTCGGACAACGTCGTAAGACGTTATAAAACCGAATATATTATATATATATGTATATATTATATATATATATATATATATATATATATATATATATATATATATATATATATATATATATATACAAATCTCAATAAAAATCTACTATTGTGGGCGTAATTAGGATTTCCTTCTGGCAATCCTGGACGAATTGCGATATGCATATAATGCGATAAATTCCTTTAGAGATTCTCCAGTCCCCACAAATGTTCAATGTGTTAAATATTACATTATGTATAGGCTATTGTATAAAAAGAATAGGTAGATTCAAGGTTTTAAATGGTCTACACCGTCTAAAATAGACACTAAAGACGTTACAGTAATCGTTCGCATATCGTTCTTTTTCTGATTATAAAAATGCTTATCTTAAGTATTTTTAAGGCGAAACAGATATGCCTAATACGTTACTGTAGAAATTTTCAGATTTGTACTTTTACCCTCGTTAGGAAATTCTGGATAATCTATATGCAACTATTTTTTTAATGATATAAAATAATATTAAATTGGAGTTCTATGTATTCAAAGAAAGTAATGTGTCAAATCCATGGTTAATAATCAAAACACTTCTATTTCAGATCAAATTCTTAAAATCCAAAGAAGGTACAGCTATGGTTCAAATGGGAGACAGTGTTGCAGTAGAAAGATGTGTTCAAAATCTCAACAATATAAACATCGGTATTACTGGAGCAATTCCAGTAACACATCGTTCCAATGCACCTGATGCAATGCAAGAAGACGATGATCACCAAAAAGAACACAAATTACAATTAGCATTCAGCAAACAACCATATCTCAGCGAAGTAACAAATCCGTATCCACTACCTGATAAATCTCCTTCTTATAAGTTGTACATTAGCAATAAAAATAATCGATTCATGAACCCTGCCATGGCAAGCAAGAACAGAATTCAACCACCCAGTAAGGTAAAGTCATATAATTTTATTTTCTTTTAACATTTGTACGCTTGACTTATGTTTAACTTATTTTAAATGTTTTAATTACTTGATTCTGTAATAATCTTCTACATACTAACTAGGGGAGGATGAGGCATTGTGAACCATCTAAGGAGTATATGAACCTGTAGTTAAACCAGAAATAATTTTTTTTGTTTAATTAATTAGGAACGTTCTTTGAACATTTAACACTCATTTAGTTGCAATTGAAACTGAATTTATTTAACGTATTTGCAGTAAAAAAAATCACAACTGACTATATGTCAACGTTCACCATAGGATAGGGCAATGCGAATTACTGAGGAAAATCAGACTATTTCATTACCTAATGGCTATGTTTTGCAAATAAAATCATCTTCTGGATCTATTCCCGCACATGCTTCCTGAGCTCATTTCATACAGACCGAGCAACGTTACGTACCCATCCTTCTTCATGGGCTGATGAGGAAAATCACTCGTCACAGTAGAAACATTCAGCATCTTTGACTCATTCGTGTTTGTTTAAAGTTCTAATTCTAGCTATAAGGATGTCAGTACAGCTGTTTTACCTTTTTTAGATTTCCTCTTTGGTTCTCTTTGGCAGAGGTTGTTGCTATATTGTCTGCAGGGAAACTTTCAACTGAAAAACGTTACCAATATGACGCTTTGCAGTTGAAGTTGAAACAATTGCCTCCTGTAAATATATTGGAAGCTTTCGAAATGTGGCTTTATCGCCGTATCCTAAAAATACCATGGACAGCAAAAATCACAAATATAGATGTCCTTAAAAGAATAAACCAAGAACGACAACTTTTTGAAACCACCAAGAAAAGGAAAACGGCGTATCTAGGTCACATCATGCGAAATAAAAAATACCAGTTCCTCCAACTTATAATCGAAGGTAAAATTGAAGGCAAGAGAGGAATGGGACGCAAGAAAATGTCCTGGCTCCGAAACATAAGGCAATGGACAGGGATTAACGACATACAATTTCTGATACATATTGCAAGAAATAGAGAATTAATGGAAAATGTGATCGCTAACATCCATTAGTGGATTTGCATCTGAAGAAGAAGAAATATATTGGGATCGTAAGGATCTATCACAAATTTTTTTAAAAGCGTTAATATCAGTCAAAGGTGTTGCAGCTTTGAGAATGACTCACCAAAAAGTTTAAGAGATTTGAAAATCCTTTACCACTCTGCCTGGGTTGTTATTAAGAACCTTTTCTAATACCATATCATAATGTCGTGCCAAACGCCCATGCAACCCACATCGGTTTACTCATGTACATGTTTCTCCCTAGCCAAATAAATTACCTCTATGTTTTTTTGTATGGCTGCTGTGCCCATCCAAAATTAGTAAGATTGGATCGTCTTCACTTTTTTTCGCTTATTGAACAAAAGGTTTAAAACCATATTAAAAAAAATTCAGTATTTACCCAGCCACTTACGCCACAGGCAAATATTGGAGTTCGACTTTCATTCTTTTCTTTGCAAAAATTAACATCGGCGGTATGAAGATTCCTGATGATGGCATGCAAACAACGGTTGTTGATTATTTCACTTCACTTCTACAGCCGAAGTCAGCCGTCCAACTTGTTTCCGTCTTTGTTCCAAGATTTTACTGTTATATTTGGGGGACTGTACCTAGACCTGTTTCGTCACAGTTAAAAACACGAGTTGGATTAATATGTTTAGAATCTAGAGTAGTTTTATAAAAATCGACAAATTTTTTAACATTGTAATTGATTCGAATTTACGTAATAAAAGCCTTGGGTGCCGTTTTCAAATCCGTGCAGCCAATCTAAACCTGCAAGTTTCTTTTTTTTTTTTTGTTGTATGGATGGTCTATTTTATTTTTTTCGGCCAACTGGAAAGCTAGGTGACGAATATCAAGCAAAGTAATTCCGTATAAACGCTTCTCTATGTCAAAGATATAATTATACAATTCTTCTTCCTGGTCCTTGGTAAAAACCGTTTTGTAGAAACCTAAACCTTATTCGAGAGTAAAAATTCTTGCTAGTTTTTCTTTGCATAATGCAGATTAACGTTACTTTCGGAATACCAAAAACTTTACTAGCTTTTAAATAGCCCATCTCTCCAGCTTTCACTGCCCGGATAGCATTCTTCAAGGCAACAAGAGACCAGGATTGTTGATCAGTCATTTCTAACTGCAAAAGAAGAATATAGTTAAAACAGTGTCAAGAAAATATAATGGGGCAATGGGCACTCCTCCTAGTCACGTTGCCGTATGCGTAGTATACATTTAAAATATGAAAATTAACGTACAAGTTCACAACGTATCGTAAAGCAAATCCTAATTATTAAAAGTACATTTTATAGGCGACGCCACAGTATAAAAAAGTTAAAGTAAACATGCCTACTTATCAAACAATCTTAAGTCAAAATTAGTAAATTCCTTAGATCAGGAGCGATGTAACACATGTTTCAACTTATAACACGTTTAAACGTACAACCCGTTCTGTCAAACTCGTACTAAAAGTATATAACAATGACGTATAATATATAGACCCGGTGAACGCTTTAAAAAGTGTCCACAACATGAATACCTTTGTTATTGTTTATTGTTTTGATACGAAGATGCACGAAGTTGATGATTTCTTACGAAGCCACCGAACAACGGTGACGAAGCATCACGAAGTTGATCTTGTGTTTGAAAACATCATGGACGTATGAAAACATTTTCTCCATTTGTGGGTTTACATATTTTATGTGACAAGCAAATTTTATTTTAAATTGTTGAGAGTTATTTACTTACTATTTTAGTAAAATGCCATACTATTTTATCAAAATAGTTATTTCTCTTATAGACGGGAACAAAAAGAAATCATAAATATTTAATTTTAATTAAAAAAATAATTATTGTGATTAACATTTAAATGAGCACGCCGCTGTTCTGGTAAACATACCTTCAACCTTGAGCAGAGATCTTTCGGACACTCTATTATATAGCGAGAATAGGGGACCGCTTAGTCTATATATTATACGTCATTGGTATATAAGACGTCTACGCATATTTGTGGTAGTTACAAGATGCAGTGTTGCCAATTAAAAAAAATAACACCGATGTGGTTTATATTGCTACCATGCTCCATCTTCTCCTAATAGTAAACTATACTGGTTCTTTCTTATTGTACGTTTATCGTTCTAATTGGTAGCTCATAGTTTTCATCTTTGGATAGTGTGGCTGTTATATAATGATATTTTTTAATGTAGTTGATTACATTTCTATTATCGTTCTTTATTTATTTTTAACTTATTGAATTGTTTTACCAGTTTTCTCATCATAATCGTCAATAAAGTTAAAAAACCAGTTTGTTTACAACTTGACACTCCCAGTTTTGTACACAAGTAGTATTTTAGAATAAAATTAAAATTTACGAGAATATAAAATTACGAGAACATTACTATTTTACATTAACAAAATTGGTTTTTCATTTGGATTTTATATTATATTTTGTCTTCCAGAGTCCCTTTATTGACACCGTGTTACATGAGTTTTTTATATTCGTCGATATCTATTCTGATATATTGAATCTGGATATTGAAACGTAAAAATTTCGTCTGTAATTGTTCTAGACTACTTTAGTCTTTAGTCTTAGTACTCTAGTCTACCTTATTGCATCACAACCATCGTGCTATTCACAAATTCACATTCCCCAGTAATATTTAATATTAAAAAATCAGAATTAATTATAATCTCCTTTCTTATATATCATTGTGATCTGAATATATTTCTATTTGGATGCTATCTTTATTACAGATATATTCATTAGGATCAAGTGAATATAGGACTAGAATATATTAACTAATATTTAAACTAATATACAAACAGAACAATCACGATTGTTAATAATTATGTTTGGAGAGCCTTACGCTTGAAAATAACTCATGATTTCATTTCTTTTTTAGATTTTGCACTTTTTTAATACACCTCCACAAGTAACAGAAGAGGACCTATTTAAAGTATTCGAAGAGTATGATGTAACGCCGCCAAAAGCTGTTAAACTGTTCCCCATGAAATCAGAACGTTCCAGTTCCGGTCTCTTGGAATTTGAAAATATTACCGACGCTGTAGCGGCAGTGATGGCATGTAATCATGCAGCCATTGAAAGTCCAGGTATATTTCTATTAAAATAAGAAAAATTTCGTTATTGCGTACTTGTATATATTTTATATTTTTTCGTTCTTTCGGAATGTTGAGTTATGTAGGTATGTACATCACCATAAGTTGTAATAAATAATCCACAACAAGTTACGTACATACACAATTTGACAGAACAGATTGTTCCACTTTTGAAAACATTTGTGAACATCATTATTCAATACAATCTACTTCTAAATTCTAGATTATTTTCAAAAATAAAAGCTAAATTTCCAACTTCATTAATAGCAACATAATTTACCGAATAGATTGCAGTGAATGTCAAACTTGTTATATTGGTCAAAGTGAACAGTGACTTAAGCAACCTACCACTCAACAAAAAATGGTTGCAACATATGACAACAATGGTTGACATTAATAATCTTAGAAAAAGTTAATAATTATAAAAACCATCTTTTTCTTCAATTGTACATATTAACAAATCTCCTTAATCTGTCAATTATAAGACTGACACCAACCATTTGAGTAATGTCTACTGCAACATTATCAACATATGGCATGATAGATTCTAACCTTTAATTAACAAACACATTACTCACTTAATCTTTTAGCAGCTTACATACAATTTTATTCTATTTCTTAATATAATAAATTACTACATACCAGCAATTACATTTTATAGATCAATTTATCATGCTCCTGATCCTTTCTCATTCCTCTAACACTAATTGTATCTTTTCACCATAGAATATCGGTAATTATATACTGTCTTTTGTTATATTCAACTTATTCACTAAACATTGTTCAATATCAGACTTCACTCTATAAAAATATAATGTATTGCAGTTACCATAACTCTTAAATATATATAAATCAAACAAATATTAAATTAATGTCACTTAGATATGAAGGGCCACAGGAAAGAACGATCAGACTCACATTTTGTTCATTTTGTACAAATCGAATTTGAAAGTTTTAAGTCGTTTATTTTGGTTCAGGAAAATTAAATACAAAATATTTAGTTTTCAATTTACATATTATTATAAGACTTTTTAATACAAAAATGAAAAAAAAATAGTTTGCTATTTGTATATGTACTTGAAATCTTCAAATTTTTAATTAAGGAGCTGGACTCTGTTCTAATTTGCGCATTAAATTTCGATTGGTGGATCTTCGGCAAATTCCACATCACTACCTTCATTCGTACCGCCATCGGAAACTAGTCCTTGGTAAAAGAAATGCGCTTCAGGGTTTGTCAGGAATTGGGTTAAGTACAATATATCATGCAACTTAGCAGTCTTAACAGGCAGAAGTTCATTATATAGCTTCTTTAGTGGAACAGGTTTCAATTTTCTCTTACGTGCCTGATTTTTTGAGGGAACTAATACGGCTGTAAGATATAGGCCAAAATAATGGTCTTTGTGTAAGATAAACCGTGGATGGTTTTTTTTCTATTTTTAAAATCTTCCTAGTCGCCGTAGGACATTTCGGCACATAAAGATGGGACAAATGTGTAAAGACAAAAATGCTTTATAGCAAACAACAGTATCTTGTAACGAGCCACTCACATTTACCTGAACTCTATAGCTATAAGAAGATTGATTAAAACTTACTTCAGCTTCAGGGTTTTGGCTTCCTCCGTCTTCCAACGGAGACGGAGGCACTTTGTCACGGTATAACCGTGACCAGACCTGTTAAATATTTGTTTTGAACATTGTAGTCCCCTAACTCATTAAAATGAGAAATTATTCGTTGTCTTTTATTCAAAGAGATGACTTGAAAACAGTTGTAACGAAGGCATTTACTGTCTTCCCTGACCTCATGAGTGTTGATGCGTAATTTTTTCATTACATCACTCATTTTGCCGGTTTTTCTACGCTTTTTGACATTTCCTGGCTGATTATTTCCATTAGATATATCACTATCACTAAGATCACTTGACATTATGAATTTTCTCAAAAACAAACTAATGAAAACTTCAAAATAGCAGCAGCTCGCTTAGCGATTACAGAATAGAACTGACGCTAAGATGCATAGATGCAAACGACAATCTACGTTTAGTTAAAAGGTCGTCAGAATCTGATCGTTATTAGCCGTCAGCGCGAGGAACCTCATCGTTCTTCTCCGTTGGCTTTTATCTTTCCCCTTTATTATCTTCTGTACGGTGATCTTTATTGTACAAACGAAACCATGCTTGGGTTCTTTCCAAGAAAATCTAAAATATGACGTCAATATCTAAATTCCGACCAAAAATGGAGTCTGATCGTTCTTACCCGTGGCCCTTCATATGTAAGCGAAATTTAAAGTTTTACTTTTATAGTTCTAAGTAATCAAATATTCACTTTGTTAGCATCTAATACTTCCAATAAATTTGCAATTTTCTTAAGAATTCACAAAATCGTGATGAAATGTGAAGACTTAAAACAAATAGAGTTTTATTTTCTACTAACTGAATTGCTGATATACTCCATTCGCTTAGCTCTTAGCACAACAATTCCTACTTCTCAGTATTAATAGCTCAAGTATACTACTATTGTAGACTTCTTTCTTTGAAAAAAAGAAGAATTATTCTAAATAGTGGAAGCGCATACTAAACCCATCAAATTTTGGAAAGTATATATTTAAAAAATATATTTTAGTTGTTATAATTTAACATAACTATTTATTATATGGCACAGATAAATAAATATTGGTTGTCTGTAATTCTCAAAGTTCTATTTTATTTACTATTTAGTTTGTTTACTATTAATATTGGCTATAAGTACGTGTGCTTGGTTGTATAGTAATTTCCAGCCACTTTTAGTCTGTCAAAAAGTAACTAACTTCGCAAAAAAATAATTACTAAATTCACTAGACAGTTCGGACTGGGAATAGCGAATTGAGTATATTTATTTATGTTTGGCCTAGTGTAGGTCTCAAGCATTTTAAGATTCTATTTCTTTTTATTATGCTTTCGATTTATTCCTCCTGCTTAGTTCTTTTTTGGTCTTTTATTAATATTCTGATGGTTCATTACCTGCTACTGCTTTAAAGACCTTTTGACACTCCTAGCTTTAACTATCATGGCTGTAAATAAATTTAAGTCAAAACATTAATGATCGTGGATCTCGGAACCAAAGATCCGACAAGAGGACAATCTTAAGACTGCAAGGCCTCTCAGGTCGTTAATATGCGAAATCCTTGCAAAATAACCACATGGAACATCAGAAGCATGTTTGAGTAAGATAAAATATGTATGCCATGTAAGAAATGAAAAGAATGCAAATCAGCATCCTCAGAATAAGTGAAATTCGGTGGCCGGGATCAGGAGTATGTGACGTAAATGGATATCAAGTGTACCATGCCGGAAATACCGATGCCAATCACTATAATGGAGTTGCAATCGTAGTAGCAAAACATTTAGCTCATTCAGTATTAACTTATATCCCTATATCTGACAGAGTAATGCTAGTGAAATTTAGTTCAAAGCCGTTCAGTACCAATGTAATCTAGATCTATGCCCCAACATGATCTAGTGATGAAGATAAATTAGAAGCATTTTACAAAGATCTTACTGATGCTCTAGATCTTGTCAAAGTAGCAGAAAATACCATAGTCCTAAAGATTTTAACGCCAAATTCGGCAAAGGACGCTGTTTAAAAATTGTGGGGGATTATGGCTTGGGAAGCAGAAACGAACGTTGAAATCGACTTGTCCAGTTCTTTCAAGAACACGTTTTCACTAAATCGATTACTCCTTTTAAACTATTACCGAGAAGACTCTACACTTGGAAGTCTAATGCAGAATCAGAGGATAAAATTATTAGGAAACAAATCGACTTCTTTCTAATAAAAAATGGATTTAGAAACTGCATCAAATCAGTTAAAACTTATCCGGGTGCTGACATTGGGTCTGATCACAATCCCATAGTACGTGTAATCCAATTAAAATAAAAGAGGTGATCAAGAAGAAGTCTCGCAAAAATATTGATACAGTTAAATTAGAAGATAAGTTAAGGAATCAGTTCAAAGACAACTGAACGAAAATTTAATTTGGAAAAATATTGGTGAAAACGTCGATGAGGGCTTAAATAAAATCGTAACAACAGTAAAAGAAATCGGTGTGAGAAATGTACAAGGCAGGTCAAAGCTAAAAAAGCAGGCTTAGATGACATATGACATATTGGATTTAATGGAACAACGGCGACTAGCGAAAAACAACGAAACACTTTACAACTGCATACAAAAAGAAATTCTACGTAAAATACGAGAAGCAAAGAGTAAACATCTAGCCAAACAGTGTCATGACATTAAAGAACTTGAAAACAGATACGACACGTTTAACATTATAAAAAGTGAAAGAAGCGGCTGGTATCTTCAATAAGAAACAAACTGCATTGCTGCAGGATGAACATGGTAAAGTAATATTTGAAGTAGAGGACAAACTTAACAAATGGGAAAATTATGTCACGAACCTATTCGAAGACGGTAGGAATAGTTTACTTCCCGATATTACTAACTGCGACGGACCCTTAATAACACGCTCTGAGGTTATAAAAGCCATACAATCATCAAAAGATGGCAGAGCGACTGGTCCTGATGAAATTCCAACTGAAATATACAAGCTTATAAATGATAGCAATGTTTTAGAGGCTATAACTTCGTTTTTCAATACCATTTATACCAGCCGACAATTACCTAATGGTTGGTCTAATTTACTGTTTTTATAGCTCTATCTAAGAAGACAACAGCAAAAACCTGTGCTGATTATAAAACCATCAGTTTGTTAAACCACTTATTGAAAATTTTTCTGAAGGTAATACATGGTCGTATCTACAATAAATGCGAGGAATAAATGGATGACACTCAGTTTGGTTTTCGTAACGGGTTTGGAACGAGAGAGGCACTGTTTTAAATGAACGTACTTGCTGAAAGTTGTCGAGATATATCTGTAAACATATACTGTTGTTTTATTGATTTTCAAAGGGCAGTTGATCGTGTTAAGCACTCCATATTGATCGAAACTCTAAAAGACATTGGTTTGGATGGCAGAGATGTTCGAATAATTGCAAATTTATATTGGAATCAAACAACATCAGTTTTAGTAGATGGTGTGGAATCACAGGCTCTCAATATTGAAAGAAGAGTACGGCAGGGATGCCTCTTATCACCCCTTCTTTTCAACGTTTACTCCGAAAGAATTTTCAGAAAAGCACTTTCTGAATACTTGTGAACGGTGAAGTCATCAATAATTTGCGATATGCGGACGATACAGTACTCCTAGCTTCTAGTCAAAAAGATCTGCAAACACTACTTGATAGTGTCGTTGAGAGTTGTAGGAAGGCAGGTCTGGATCTGAACATACGGAAAACCCAAATACTCGTATTAAGTTAACAACAGCATATAAAACCGTCTATATATGTAAATAATACCAAACTTGAGCAAGTTGATAAAATCGTTTATCTTGGACAGCCATTAAAATGTACACGGCGAAATTAGATCTAGGATAGAGCAAGCTAGAGCTGCTTTTAGAAGGATGTCCAAGGTGTTATGTAATAGAGACCTAAAATTAGCATTGAGGATCCGGCTACTTCACTGCTACGTGTTCTCGGTCTTACTTTATGAAGTCGAGTCCTGGACTGTGAATAAAATCGATCTAAATCGCCTTGAGGCTTTCGAAATGTGGTGCCATAGAAGAATTTAAAAAGTTTCCTAGGTGGAGGAGATTCGAACTGCACAATACTAGAACGTCTCAGTAAGACTACTGAGATCATAAAAAGCATCAAGCAGAGAAAGCTGGAGTATTTCCGACATGTAATGAGAAGTCCCAAATATATGTTGCTACAAAATATCATGCAAGGAAAAATAGCAGGCAAACGCAGTCCAGGACGAAGAAGAATTATATGGTTGAAGAACTTGTGAGATTGGTACAAGAGAACTTGTGAGATTGGATGATGTTGATACAAGCATGCTATTTCGGGTGGCAGTGAATAAAATTAAGATAGCTATGATGGTAACCAACGTTCTGAAAGGACATGGCACATAAAGATGATGGTTAATTTATGTAATTTCTTCACTTTTTCTTTTCCCAATCTCTATAAGTTTTCTTCTTTCTCTCGTTAATACTTTCATTGTATTAAAAAACTAGTCGATGGTTACTACCAGTTGTGAATTCGTTCAAAACTGATACAGATTTTACAATATATTACGTTATTACGTCAAAAGTTTATTAATTCATGTTTTATTTCTTGAGAAAATAGTTGAGCTAAAATTTTAGATGCGCCTTGTATGATTTATATTCATGATTTTTTAAAACTAAATAATCTTTTATCATTATATTAATCTTAATATTATAAACTTTAAAATATTTTGTGTTTTAGGAATGAAATTCCCCTTTATCATGAAACTCTGCTTCTCATCGTCACGTAGCATGACCATTAAAAATGGAGATAGTACCACCGATCAAGCTGGTGAAAAAAATGAGTAATTGCGTAAAACCATGCATATAATTTTAGTCTTTACATATCCTTTCCATAAATTGTTTAAAGTGTTACGATTAATGTTAAGTTAAAGTTTTAGTACCTTTTCGATTGTTTGTGACAAAAATCTCATCGACCAATGTCTCGATTTAAATATTGTTTGTAATATTGACTAATTTACCTGCCAATAACCCTAGGTAATATTTAAAAATATTATTTACGATACTGTTCAAAATATTTCTTAAAAAATGTAAAAAAGTACCTAAACAACTAGTTTACGTACAGCATACAACGTATTTACAGATATACAGACTGTAATAATATACGAATTTTTATTTTTGTATGAATATAATTCTCCTCCTATGCGGTGTAGGATTGGAATGTATTAACAAAATATATTGTAGATACAACGGTCAAACAAAAACTAAGTAAGTACAACTTATTGTAAATTAAGTTGCTTCTAATAAATATGCTTTTTCAAACTAATATTTTTTCTGAAACTTAGTTATAGAATGTATACCTAAAACTTAACCACGATGATATTTTAAACATAAGAAATTGATACCTTTTATAAGAAACTTTTGATTTTTGTTTCCAGTCATGTTATTCTACTTTTTAAACTGGACTGTGTGTTTTATTTATATTATGACGTTTATACTAAATATTTCATGGTTAGTTCGGAGTCTAGATTGCCCAATTCACTCTGAGTCCTTCATTTTTTTTTCAAGACGAACTAACATGACATTCTGCTCCTGACGTTTTTGCTCTTTAGAAGAAATGCTTCACGTTTGGATTTAGGAAATTCTCTTTTCCAGTACTTATCAACCTAAAGTATCTATAAACATCTATATATCGAAAAGCACATGGAGCTGTATCGATAAATTTCATAAAAGCATCATTTATTAGTCCTATTTCACTCTCGTACGCTATTTTGACCGGTTGTTCTCCAGGATGATTGTTATTTTGACCCCCTTAGTACAGTTTTGTACCTTTCACCTCCCGATTGTTTAGGGTTGTAGTTGCAAATTTTACTGCTTTTTGTGAGTACTTCCCATAGATGGATTCCGTTTGTCAGCCTGTATTAGAGTATCTACTGTACAAATGTACACATCAGTTTTTTCTCGAAAAGTAAGAGGAATTTTCTGTCATATTCCTGGGCTTTTTGAGCTTCGGATAACATTGCTGTGGATCAGTTTTTGCTGTTTTCTGAGGAGTACTTAAAACATTCTCTAAAAAGATGACTCTCCGGAGTTTGTGGCAATCTTGAAGCAGTTTTGTTAGTTTTTGAGCTCTACATTTTTATTTTTATTAATTTCCATGAGTATGAGTGAATGAGAGGTCCGTACCTATAGAGTTCCCAACGTAGGTATAAAGCCCAATTGCCATGCAGGTTTGGTACGATACAATAAGCCTTAACTTAAATAATATGCAAGATACTAGTGTACTCTTAGTCCTGGCAGCGTTTATTCAATGATAATTATAAAATTATTTGATATTTTTTCTACAGTTCGCATATAAATAATCTTGTGTATTTTAAGTTTTTAAATTAAGAGTATAAAATAAATTTCTCCATCGATATTAACATTTTCTAATAATTATTGTAGACTGTAAGTTGTGTCCCTTAGGCACTATTTGGGATCTATTAAGAAAGAATAACATATTTTTCATCATATTCAAAAAATTGTCTATAAACCAATTAGTGTATAAAACCATATACTACATATTAATTTTGTGATAATGACCAATAAATGATTAAATCTATAATCAAAACGTCAATATAATGCTACTTAAGATTTTTAAAAATTATTTACTAATTTACTAAAAAATGGCAAAATGAAATTTTGTGCCAAAGAATAAAATAGAAAAAGTATGTACATATATAAAAATCACTCGAGTTAACATTGTAAATTTCAATGTTTATACATTGGTCTCTGAGGGGTTATTGACAGGTAAACAATATTTTTGTATTTCCTTTAAAGTTAAGGTATTTCTTATCTTTAGTATTACATATCCTATTTAAGAAAATACTCTTGAGAAATAAATGTGGAGAAATAGCGCAATTTAAGATTTTACTTGCAACGATTAGTGTTACGATTTTTAAAACTTAAGCTTTTAACTAGTTATATTACAGCAAAGCAATGGTGTTTTGACAAATACTTTGGATTAAATCTTTTGTTGAATTTTTTAAAATGTGTCTAAAGTGATAGAGTTTCGAGTGTGATTTGACCCTTAAAAATACAAGTTTCATGAAATATAATCAAAAACAAGGTGCATGTTCAACCATTCCTAATATTCTTCAAAGAGGCAACAAAATAAAAAATATGTATAAAATGACGTTTAAGAATTATTACATAAGTTCCTGGATGTTGGTCTTTTCTTATTAAATTCGTTACACGTCATCAAATTTGTCATTTTCGGACAGTATTGCCATATTATCGGGATATTAATTCATATCGGGAGGATGTAGGAAATAAATAAAATGTACAGTTATTATTTTTATTAATTTATCTTTGGGATTAAAAATTGCTACGACAGAAATAATAAATTAAAATGAGAAATTCAGGTTGAGGACCTCAAAAAGGACTGAGTTCCTTAATATTTAGCGACAGAAATAAAACGATAGAGCAGTAGGTGAAGAAATCATAACAAGTGTGACTCGGTAAGTATCCTGGCAATTAAACTGCAGATATGGTAATACGTTGTTGGATACGGCTACTGAATGCCAGCCCTAGGAAAATAAGAGGAAGATAAGAAAATATTTCTGTATTTTATTATTTAAACACAACAATAACTCAGAGTTACCGCCTAAATGCGAGTTCTAGATCAGAATACCGCATTTAAAAAAAAAACTAATTATAACATCACCAGGTATGCAACAACAAAACGAATAATGAATTGAAATCTAGGCGTTTGTGTATTTTATACTCTAGTATAAAATATACGTAGTAATATATACGTTTTTTATTAGTGTCTATACTACGCAGATATGTTCGTGGAAAAAATCCTTTTAACATAATGCAACCATACAAAATTAATGACCTGGGAACTTAAGAAAGGAATACTTAATAAAAACAGTCTACGAGATAGTATAGTCACATCTTGGTACAGCACAATTAAAATTGAGCGCTAGTAAAATAAAACGTTACACGGTAAGAAAGATAATAATCGAATTAGCACAATGTGACCAAATAAGACGTATTTAGAATGTAATTCAGATAATATCTTGCTAGCTTGTTGCTCTATCCAGTGGCGTTTTTCTGCGTGGCTCAATAAACAACAATGGATATAAAAACGAATTTTTTAAAACCAACAAAAAATAGTAACTCGTATTCGTAACTCGTAATAGTACATTTGAGCAGATATTTCCTGTACGTTTAGTTCTCACTATTGACGTATCTAGAAATACATATGTGTTGCATATATTCAACAATATATGTAAGTGGTCAACTTAGTCAGATGTTCCAAACTTAAGTCTACCTCACATGTATTTCTGATGCTTTCACTTTTTTCTCTGTCTAGAAGAATCTATTCAGCTATCACAAGAAGTACGTTCATTGCTGCCGTTTTAAGCAATCTCTTGATTTTTGTTAGTTTCTGGTCTAGTTTCTGTGGTGTGTCATTATATATCTGTTAGCTGGCTCTTATGTCGATTTAGCGTCGATGCCAATGTTTTTACTACTCCATATCGTATTGTTTAGACATCCAGCTATTTTTGTTGTTCTCGTTGTTTGTTCTCTTACTTTTACTTCAAAGTCGCCATAGCCTGATAGTTAGTTCTATGTCTGATTAGAAGTATTTAAACTTCTTCATTTGCTGGATAATTGACCCATCCACCTCGAGTTTATACAGACACCATCTAATAGGTGTCTTTAATGTTATCCTTTATTTTGTTTTAGCGGCTGATATCTCCATATTGAACGTTTTGGCCTTGAGATTAAATTGATTAGGAATCGCTGTAAATCGTCCTCGTTTTCGTCATCTAATGTCGCATCATCTACATAACGACTCTCCTTATCTTCCATCCTATATTCTCTTATTTCTTTATTATGTCATCCATAATCATTTTGAGGGGCAATGGGACCAGTGAATCACCCTGACGAATGCCATTTCCAGCTGGTATTGGAGTGTTAAGTTCCCCGTTTATTTTAGCTTGAATTTGATATATATATATATATATATATATATATATATATACATATATATATATATATATACATATATATATATATATATATATTATATATATATATATATATATATATACATATGTTTTCCACAGTTTTTGTCATAATATGTGGAAGGATATCTATAGATAATAGAAATTGTTTATGCATAGTGGAATATAAATATTCCCAGCACTATTCTGAATGGCTTGATTAAGCTTGGGTTTACAGTTTACTTTAATTGTTAAAGATATTTCACTTCATATATATATTAATATATATATATATATATATATATATATATATATATATATTCAGTTATTTGTTTTGGGACAACAACGGCATCTGTTCAAGATCTGCTTAAATCTATAGTGAATACTGTGACGAAATCGAAATCGCACTGTTGACGTACAACGAATTTAAGAAAAAGAAATTTAAGTATTTAATTAAAAGTCATAAAATAATAGGTCTAAAGTCTAAACACTAGCAAATCTAGAACTTAATATAAAAAAAGAAAAAAATAAAAGTAACTAAAACTTAATGGATTATTCAATCCATAATTTGTTCTGGATAGAAAATTCTATATATACAAATATTATGCACTAAACTAAATGTAAAAAATTAAGGTGATATTATTACTATTTAAACCGCCCCCCCCCCCCCCCAAAATTCGCTTTTGCGATGAAAGTTAACTGTATTTCTAAGGGTCAGGATGTATGTGAACATTTAAGTTTTACATAAGAAAGTTAAAAAGTCAATATTTTATATGATAAATATCAATACGAAAGTGAACAAAACATATTAATTACATATCACTGCACCACCAATGTCTGCTTTTGATTTTGAAAAATATATTATTGTTTGATAACAAGAACCAATTGAATCTGGATGCTATATTTTAGTTACTGGTAGTTTGATAACTTTACCTGAAGACGTGTTTTTTATTATAATTAATAAACTTTAATATTTGTTGAAGTTGTAAGTTTGTTAAAATAGGAAAAATATAACGAAACTTTAGATTATTTGTTATTAATGATTTAAAAATGAATCTTGTTGATTTATAAGTTAGGAACTATTTAATTTGAGCAATTTCATTAAATGTTTTATACAACCAAAAATTAAATTAAACCATTAATATTGATGAAATTCTTTTTCGTTAAAATATATAGGTACCTATGTCAGTTGTATATATAGCGGGTGCAGTGTAGCAGTTTTTTTGTATATTAGATTTTTCAACAAGAAACACTTACTGACAAAGAAAATAGGTAGTCAAATGTACCATGCAACATGTAACTCACACTCCCTACGTTACTGTCTAAGTAAAATCCTTTACAACGTTAGTAAAAAGTGCCGTATGTTTGTGTTACCATATGGCAACGCATATTTATTACTACAGCAATTTATGTAAAGGTGACCTACCTAGGGAGAATATAACACAAATATTCAGAGAAATCTATGAAAGAAACTGCAAAAATGTCTGCTTGTATATATTTCTACAATTCAGAATAAGGAAATAAGTTAAAATGATAGAAAAGTGGTATATAATGGAATATAGACTGAAAGATTTCTACTATACCATAAACTAAAAACGCGATACTAAAAAGGCTTTTCTGGAAGTTTTCTGATATTATCTTATCTGTTCTTGTATATTCTTTCTATATTTTACATTTTTGTTTGTGTATAGTTTCAGATATAGAATCTTGGCATATCAAATTAACATAATCAAGTTTATTATAGATCATGAACGAAAATGTTGCTAACATTTATTAGAACTATTATTTCTGTGATAGTTTCACATATCGACTTTATCGCGAAAAATATAGCTTTAGTTTCTTTTGGTTGTTGTTATTACTCATTTACGATTTTTGTAGCTTGAAAAATTAGATGCTTTGCCTACAAAATATTCGTCCTGTCCTAGAGATTGAAAGATATTGTTATTCATCGATCGGACTTAAATGTGCATTTGAAATTAATGGTATTTAAAAAATATGGTATTTGTCTTTAATTTAATGCAAGAAAAAACTAAGCTTTCTTTAAAATGGAACTCACGAATTTCCTTTTCAGCCGCCAATCTAATTCAGGTATGAATTTTGTTGATTTTTGTATTTTTCTTTTACAATTTTTTTTTCTGTTTCATTTTATAAGATGTGTTTTATAAATGTGTTTTAGTAGCAAAATCGTTTTATAAAAAGTAATAAAATATTTTACACCTATGTGACCATTAAATTATTATATTTGTGTTGTCTATTTTTGCTCTCTTTGCTATCTTTTCAGTTCTTCTCAGTGCCTTTTATGTCACCAAGTTTCTTCATAATATAACCTTCTTTATTATGTAAAGAACTATGGACTAGCCTGTGGTTAAGATCGTCTAGTGTGCCGTTATAACAAACATGATACTCTCGTATCACGACGTATGTTCGGTACGTGTACTTTATACTTTATTTCAACTGCAGGGATTTAAAACGTTTATGCTTATGTAGGGTTGAGAAACTATTTTCCTGTCAGATTTATATGTTATCTCCTAAAATTTAATGGGAATAAACAAAACTTCTATTGAAAATACATTGTATTTCACGATTAAACTTCCACTTCGGAGATCTTTAAGAAAATACAACTGAATTTGTATTCTGAGAACGATTACCTAACATGCTTGTACATACGTAAATTTAACTGTTTCGCCCTTTCGTAGTATAGATTTTTTAAACTTTTTTATTTGTGCTTCTTTCTTGTCCTTAATCAGTTTGAATTTCACTATAAAACTTATAGTGGATTACACAAATCTTACATCTGCGGTTTTATTTCACAATCGACATTTCAAAAGCGTTTACTTGCGTTAGTTTTTACATTGTTTTATATGCTTTATCTTTTAACTTTTTATTTAATATGTAAGGTACA